CCTCCTCCACCTTTCCTCATCATCCTCCCACTCTGAGCATCCGTAATCCTATCCCCATCCCCTCTGGCATGGCCGTGGCCCCACTGACCGGTTTATCCCCCAAGATGGTGATGTAGATTGTTCCCTTCGGGTTCCGCGGGACGGATCCCCACCTTGACGGGTGGGCTGACGGGGCTGAAAAACCATGGCTCAGTGGGGATGGGAGCCAGTCACACGATGCTGACACTCCTCCTCCTCCTCCTCCTCCTCCTCCTCCTCCTCCTCCTCCTCTTTCTCCTCCTCCTCCTCCTCCTCCGTTTACCCTTTGAAGAACGACGGTAGCAGGCGGACAAATCTGAACGGATTCTGCGCCAGCTGCCTTGGGACAGTCGATGCCCCAGTCGGCAAATCCGTTGAAGTGCTGGAGGAACTGCCATGCGTACTCCTGCGGAGATTGAACTTCCTCGTCGTCCTCCCCATTGGGGGCATACGCTAACATGGATTACGGATCCATGGATCTGGCGCGCGGGCGCCAGATCCACGGAACGGGGCGAACCGTGAAGCCAGCGCCGCCTGATTCGGCGACGGAGGGAGTCGATGTCGTGTGGAAGCGGGACCCGTCGCTAATCCACGTGCTGAATCCATGGTTGCACCCGTGTCCCCCAGCCCCTCCTCAACCTCCTTTCCCCCCCCCTCTTCCTCCCCTTTCCCCCCCTCTTCCTCCCCTTTCCTCCTGCCCGCGGGCGCCGTGTCCAGTTAGCCTCGTGGGGGGGACACATGTGATTGACGTGCTGAGCCCCATCGTAGGAGAGCATATCGCTCAGTTTTTGGCGGCGTCTCCGAGAGGGGAAACGAGAGGAGCCAGGCCTTTCAATGGCGGCGGGACTTCTCAGAAGCCCCCTGGCATTCTGCGAAGCCCTCTGGCTTCAGAGAGACGGCGTAAACTTCTCGGAAGGCCAAAGGCCGTCAGAGAAGGCTAGCGTGGTGGGTTATGGGGCCACAGATCGGCGATTGGGCGATCAAGGGTCGTTGCGTCCCCATTTGGGCCTATCCCTGGCTAGCGCTGCCCCATATTCTCGAATCCTGAATCGACTCTCCGGCGGCAGTACGAGACAATACAGGTACTCCCAGAGCGCTCTCGGGGAGGCGCAGCTGCCGCAGAGCACCCCGCAGCTGGAGAACCCGGCCGACCACCGACGAGGACGTCCGAACATATGGGATGCCATGATTCGCTCACGACACGGACCCCCGAGGCCTGCATCCCTTCGCTGGGACAGGCTTCTAATCCTGAGTCGTTCCCTGACGGTTCCAAGGATCTGTACAAGGGCCCCCAGAGGCCGAAAACGGTCGAAAACAAGCAAAAAAGCGGAGGAGGAGAGGAGGGCGGCTGCGGAGGAGGGGAGGGGGGGGAGGGGGGGCGGGGGGCGCGCTCGGGGCATGAGCGGGGGGACAAAAATGTACCGACACCGCCACTCCCAAGGCCTCCTCGGGGGCACATTCTGACCAGGATTTCGAGGCGAATCCAGCCGTGGCGACGAGGGCCTCCCAGGAGGCCCGCAAAGGCGAAGGCGAGGGGAGCGCAGCGGTATCGTTACCCGTCGGTCGAAAGAAATGTGTAAAAACATCACGTGATGTCATCTTGTGGTTGACAAATCCGTGAGGTTCGCATGCTTTTCTTCTACCAAAAAGAACTGCTGTGGCGAATCGCGGGGGGGGCGAGGACGAGGACGAGGACTCCGGACGGCGGACGGCGGCGGCGACGGCGACGCACTGCGTTTGCCCTAAGAGGGAGGGTGCTGCGCAGGCCCGCTGCAGTCGACGACGACGACGACGACGTCGAAAATGACGACAACGACGACGACGACGACGACGGCGCACTGCGGATGCCGCATGGACATGGGGATGGGGGGGGTGCTGCACAGGCCCGCTGTCGTCGACGACGACGACGATGACGACGACTACGAAGACGACGACGACGACGCCTGAGAGGGGAAACTGAAATTCGCCTCGGATGTATACGACCCCTATAACAACTTCTACAAGAAAGGCAATCGTGTTGAGGCTGTTATGCAGGGGGGTACAAGATCCCCCCAGCGGCGCCCGCGACGACCCCCTGGCGCGCGAAATTGAAAAAGTTTCGCATCAAAACGAAATCTAAACGAAAGCGGCCCACGAGATCGCCAAACCATAGTTTAGGTCGACCCATGCCTCAAACCGTGCCAGCGACGTGTCCTTTGAGATGAACGACGAAAATAAACGGGCCTTACGCATGATGGCAAGGCGGCATAGCCACCTTACGCGGTGGCTCGTGCGGGCCACCAGCGCGGCACGACACACTTGAAGCGAGGGTGCTTACGCGCAACCTTGCGCGGGCAGCTTCCGCGCGAATGTCGGCGCAGACGGCCATGATTTTGTTGCGTCGCGCAGGTGGGTCGTTGGCCCGTTCGCGCCAGGGCGCCGAGCTCCGCCAAATAGTCAAAGCACCGGCGCAACACCGTGAAACTCAGCGGCGCGCATCGGACGCACGCCCGACACTCTCGGCGGGCACGCCGAGGTGTGCAGCTGGCGGGGCACGCCGCATCTCAGAAGGCGGCGGGAACTTCTGCGAAGCCGCCTCCATCCTCGGAGGGGCCGCCCCATCTGTCTTCGCAGAAGGCTCAGAAAGCCACCGATGAGTAGGGGGGGTTGCTCCTGAGCGGAGTGAACCCCACCCTCCCCCTCGGAAATCGTGGTGAGCAGGGGTAGGGTTCGCTGTTGGCCCCCTAGTAAGGCCAGAGGCCACCTGCTCCTTCTGAACAGAACAGGCCCGCCCCCCCTGCCGCACCCCCCTCTGGGCGGGCCGCCGACTGCTGCTCCTGGCGGCCCCAGGGAGCAGGGCAGAGCGCCGTGGGCCCGCGGCTGGCTGTCGGCCAACGCCGCCGTGCGGACGCTGCACCTGGCCAGGCAGTCGACCCCTGTCGCTGCCGCCGCTCACGCTGAGCGCAAATGCCACACGGTGCCACACGGCACCACCACCCGTCAAGTTTGATTGGATCCTGCGGTGAGGCCACGAGCGAGCCTGCACGCCTCGGATCGGACGCCGAGACTGCAGATCGCAGAAGAGCTTACGCCGCGTCATCGCCGCTGCGTAACCAGCCGCCGAGCCAGGGGGGCACGACCCCCTGCTCCGCAAACGAGAAGGCCGGCTTACTTGCTCCCCAACGGCGCCAACAGTGTACTGGCCGGTGCGCCCCACATGTAGGATGGTGATGAAAGAAAAAGCGGTGCCAGGTCCAGCCTAGGGAAAAGACGCAAAAGGGAACGGAACGGAACGGAACGAAAGCCGGCGCAAGGCTCCGCGAGGGAGCTGCCGGGAGGGCCGAGGCCCCCTCACATGTTGATGTTATCGTCCCTCGGGTGGTCCCACGCCTCTAACTTCGCAACCTTTGTCCACTCGTCGTAACCAACGGTGGTCAGCACACGTTGTTTGAGATCGAATCAGGGAGTAGCGAATGCGAATCAGCTCACGCTGCTGGTTCTCCCGACGCCCTCCTGGCGCCCAGGGTATCCACGGAAGCGCCCAGCGGCAGGGCCGGAACAAGCTGCGTGCAGCACTGTTCGCACCCCCCTTTCCCAATCCTCCCCTTTCTGTCCGACCCGACCCACGGGGAGGAAACCAGCTGCATGCAGCAAGTTTCGTACTCCCCCTTCCCCAATCCTCCCATTCTCGCACGGCCCGGCCCACGGCGGGAAAAGCGGAGGAGGTATGAGAAGAAGGACAGAGAGTCAGAACATGAGGCATAGATAATGGGGCGCGGCCTGAACTGAACCTCTCAAGGGCGAATCCCTTCCGCGACGCCCCCATCACCCCCGCGGCTCCCCTCTGGCCGCCCACCCACGTCTCGGAGCGAGGCGAGGGGCTCACCGAGGAAGGGGCCAGCTTGCTCAGAAGGGTCGGCCAGGCCGCCTCTGAGAGAAGCCGGGCGGGCGCACGCCTGGCCTGGCGCTCGGAGGGCACCAACTATACACCAACACCGATCCTGGCCAGGATCACCCTGGGCCCAGGATCGGTGTACATGCCTTCTTGCCCAAGGCAGGAGGGCGTATACACCGATCCTGGGCCCAGGGTGCTCCTGGCCAGGATCGGTGTTGGTGTATAGTTGGTGCCTTCCTATGGCGCGTCACGCGCCAGATCCATGGATCGAGGGAGGCACCCCGGAAGCACGAGGTCAGTGCCGCCCGATTTGGCGACGGAGCGCGCCGGTTCTGCTGCACGTAAGCGGGGCCCGTCGCCAATCCGCTTGCTTCAACTCATGTTTGCGCTCTCTCGGTTCAGGGAGCAGGAAGAGCCTCCCGCGGACGCATGCACGGCCCCACTCGTATCCTCGGTGGTCAAGTTAATGTGCGCGATGCCTATGTTGTCCGCGCTCTCCTCAACCCGGGAGCTCGCCAGGCTGGACGGGTGGAGCATCCCAAGCCAACCCCCAAAATAAGTAGTTCCTGGCTTCTGCTGCTAGTGCTGCTCCTCCTGCTCCTCCTCCTCCTCCACCTCATCATCATCATCATCATCATCATCATCATCATCAGCATCATCAGCAGCAGCAGCACCACCACCACCACCATCAGCAGCATTACCATCATAATAATAAGCAGAATCATCATCATCATCATCATCATCATCAGCAGCATCATCATCATGATCATCAGCATCATCATCATCAGCAGCATCGTCATCATCATCATCATCATCATCATCATCATCATCATCATGCTCCTCATCATCACCATCATTATCCTCATCAGCAACAACAGCAAAAAATCCTGCCCCCTCACCACAACCACCAGCACCATCACCAGCACCACCACCACCACTATCACGCCACCATATATAATTGCGTACTCTGTACACATATATATATATACATATATACAGTCGCAAGTGTACACCACATACATACATACACATATGTACACACATATAAACACATGCATACCTACATACATACATACATACATACGTACGTACATACATACATACATACACATACAACTACACAAACAACCAAACCTACATACATCCATGCAAACGCGCATGCACCAAGATATGCATGCATGCATTCATACATACACATACGCATATAAATGTCCATAGTACATTAATGTATGCATGCGTGCATACGTACTTCTACACATACATACATATATGCATGCAGGCATGCATGAAGGCATGCATGCATGCATGAAAGCATACATACAACCAGGCATGCACCTGTGCATACATACATACTTACACGTACATGTGTGCGTACATGCATATCGATGTGAAAGCGAACATACACACGTGTACACACACCTACAGTCGTGCATGCATGAATGCATGCACGCAACCGAACGTAAATGCATACACATTCGCACACGCATATACATACATGCAAACATACAGACAGTCAGACGTGCCTACGCTCATGCATTCATACATACATGCACACATACCTACATGCATGTGTTTGCACACACACGTATATACAGACATACATGTGTGCCTATGCGTGCATGTGTATATGTGCATACACATACATAATATGCATGTCATGCATATCACACATGCAAGTGTACAAACACATGTGTGCACAATCATCGCTGCATAAATACACTCATGCATGCATATATACATGCATGCATGCAAACATAAATGCATGTGTACGCATACGCAATTACATACATATAAACACACATGCATACACATATATATAGATATACATACATGTATGCATGCATGCATGCATGTATGCATACATGTATAACTATGTATACGCAGTTACACATAAATATACATACATACATATGCAAACCTGCATGCATGCGTACATGTACACATGTATACATACATGTGCCTGCTGTACCCCAACGTCGCCCCTATCGCCAACATAGTCATCATCGTGCTATTTCCGCTCGGCCGCTTCGCCCTCATTATCCACGCAATCCCGATGATCCCCCTCCGGCTCCTCCTCCTCCTCTTCCTCCTGCCCCTCCTCCTCGTATATATGTCTCCTGCTGCTCCTCTTGTTCATTATCTGAATGTGACAAGCGGAGCGCCGAAGGCATCCAGCATAGAACGAGGGGCAGTCAATCGGGAGGAAAACGAAGTCGTACTGGAGCCGATTTTAAACGGCTACGGCTGCTCTCCTGCGTCTTCTCAGTATTACTTAGAGTATGGTTTCTCCTCGTCCTCTTCGACGTGGAGGCCTCTAGAGCTCAAGAAATCTCATTCGAACAAACTGGCACCCGAAGCGGGAGAGTGCGCGGCCAGCACAAACGCGCACATCGCCCACCCTCTTCACACACGGCCCAACATCATAAAAACGTGGGCATGAAGGAAACGGGTCCTGAGAGAAACAAGTCCTGGATCCCCTCCCTGGCTTCTCCCAGAAAACCGCTTGTAATCCTGAGCTGTTTTGTTGACGGTCCTGAGGCCTGTGGAGGGCCCCAGGGAGCCCGAAAACTACGAAAATCTCAGGACACGCTTCCCTCAGGGCCCCTTTCCTTCCTGGCGAAGACGTCGCGGAGGCACAGACCACGACCCCCCCAAGACGCCATGCCAAGACACCATCCCCTCGCCATCCCTCAGACGTCCCTCCCTGGGCATTGTTCGGTTTCGTGCGTGAATGTTTCGCGAGATGGTCCAAGATGGTCCACGATGGTCCTCGCCGCGACAAAATGCACACGTCCGAGCGGTGCCAAATCCCCGCATATGAGCCCTCGTGGCCGCGCCAATTCGCGGAGGCAGCACGGACCGAGGCGAGGCAGCGCCCTGGGGGCGCCCCCGGAGACAGCGGGGCCTCAAGCCACCCGAGCCGATGGCGACGCCGAGGGCCCCCCGCCTCATCCTCCTCCTCCTCCGCCTCCTCCGCCTCCGCCTCCGCCTCCTCCTGCTCCTCTGTTTTTGTTGGCCGGACCTTACGCTGACGCGTGCTGTTATTTTTGAAGGTTGCAGAAACGAAATGGAAGTGCAAATGACTCGGCGCAAGGGTACCTGGCGGGCGCCGCGGCTATGGCAGTAAAGAGAGACATTAAAAAACATAGGTGAAATAACAGGCGCCCGCCAGGTAACGCAGTCTGTGCCTTATTGCAGGAGACACGAAGAAGTAGACCAACTAACGTAACGAATTCAACTTGTCCAGAGGGACATGCTGCGAACAGTGCAAAGGTAAAACGAAAAGAGAGTGTTCTCCACCGCCACGTCTAAGGCAGCGTGGAGATCAGCCCATGCGGGGACCCAAGTACGCAAGGAAAGTGCTGCAGTAGAGTCTCAAAGGCTTACCCTTACCTTCAAAGAAGACGTGCATTATTTGGGCTGTAATAGGCTTAAGGTGTACCACTGACACTCAAAAAGAGAGCTTGCAATCTTCGTTCTGCGACCGAGGGTTGTGTAGGGTAACCCTGGACCTAAATAGAGATCCTCAGCCGCAACCACCACACCCACAAGTGATCCACCAACCCCGCCACCACGAGCTGTAATTGGCTCACTCTGTGCAGGCTGTTTTGCTAGGGTTCATGCGTGTGCAGGCTGCTCACGCATAGCCTGGTGCGGCAGAAAGAATGGGAGTGCGCAATGACTTGCTGCTGTGAAAGAAGGGACTGCTGCAGAGCTGGTAATACCATGTGCGCCGCAAGAGGGTTTTAAACAATTACCCCTAACCTGAGAAAACAGGCCGTGCAACCTTCGGATTGCCACCCAGGGTTTGCAGGATAGTCCCGAGACTGTGTAGTAAGTTCCTCGTCCGCAACCATCCCAATAAGCCACCGACTCCAAGAGCAGCAGGGTGAGAGGTGTATTGAAGGTCAGGCAGGGTACTGTACTGTAGAGGAAAGCTAATACACTTGGGCTGGAGTTGGACGCCGTGAATGTGCACAGCAGAAATGGCTGTGGCCAAAGTGTTGCACCCTGGCCGTGCCCGACGCTGCATGTGCACGTGCGCACTCTGCGCAGCAATAGGGCTTAAAAAGCTGACCCTCAACTTCCAAATAAAGAGGATGCAGTAGTTGGGCTGCGACCCACGGCTTTGTAGGGCAACCCCGAACCCGAGCATACAGCCCATGAGTGAACCATATCCTCCAAAAGTAGCTAGGTGAGGTTGAGCGTGAGGAACGCGGTGCATATATAATAATAAGAATAATAAGACTAAGAATAGTAACCATAATAATACATATAAAAGGAAAAATGGGGCCGCCACCCAAGGTTTTGCAGGGCAAACCGAAATCTGCAGATGGTCAAATACCACCGCCGCATCAAAGCCGCGCGGGAAAGGCAGGAAAAGTGCACTGCATGCACTGCTAGAACTCAGTGCGCTGCGAGAGGGCTTTAAAGGTCTACCCCTAACTCATGAAAAAGGGCGCGCAATCGTTGGGCTGCGACCCAGGGCGTTGCAAGGTAACCCCGGATCTAAGTAGAGAGGTCCTCCTCCGCTGCCACCTCCAGGATCAGTAAATCACCGCCTCCAAGAGAAGTTGGGCGAGACGGAAGGTGTGAAGCGCGCGAGAGAAGAAGGCAATACTGGGGCTAATACCCAGGGCGTTGTAAGGCAACCCCAAACCTGGCTAGGTAAGAAACCATGTTTGTCATCATCTGCTTCTAAGTCGGGTCTGAAACAATGTGCACATGGTCTGGCCTTTTGGGTAGGCTGGCCGCGTGGCTGGCCTGTAGTGTCACAGGCTGGCCTGAAGCGCAGATCTGGGGTGCGAAAAGGGTGACGAGTAGAAATGCAGCACGGCGTCGCAAAATTTTGCTGCACGCACTGAGGCGTGTCACTCAATATTTCTGCATGGGCAGATTGCTCCCGCAGAGGCTGTGACAGACTGCTCAGAAAAATGGCGCAGTCGCCACAGCGCTGCTGCCTGGCTGCGCCCGGGGTAGCGCATGCAGTAGAGCGTAGCAACTTACGGCATTGATAGGAGTGGATGGTGCGCCTTGGGCGTCCATCGAATTCAGCCGCGCGTGTCTAGCTGAGGGCATAAACAGCGGCATTGAAAAACTGGCTGTCGCCAAAGTATTGCTGCCTAAATGCGTCCGAAGCCGCGCATGCACGCACGCGCTGTGCGCTGCAATAGGTTTTAAAGGTTTACGTTTAACCTCCAAGACAAGAGCGCGCAACCTTTGGGCTGCGACCCATGGTTTTGCTGGCTCGCCCCGAACCTGAGTATAATATTCCTCCTCCGTTACCCCAAATATGAAAGCCTGCGATGGTAAACTGGTGTTGAGATCGCGCCACCGTCGATACGCACTGAAAGAATGATCGTCGCCAAAGTAGCGTTGCCTGGCTGTGCCCGAAGCTGCATGTGCAGTGGGGTGTAAAAGGTTCACCCTTAACCTCAAAGCAAAAGAGCACGCAATCTTCGGGCTGCGACCCAAGGCTCTGCAAATCAACCCCGAACCTGAGGGCCGGGGCCCACGAGAATGCGACGCAGGAAGATGAAGGACAACGGAGATGTGCACGATACTAAAAACAAACAATCCTAGGGCTGCCAACAAGAAGTTTGCAGGCTAAGCCCCAACCTATAGTTAGCACGTACCACTGGCGCGTCAGAAGGGCCGCGAGGTGAAAGAGAAACGGCGCATGACAAATCAGTGGTCATGGCATGAAGACTGGCTGCGGGAGAAGCCGCGCTGCCTTGTACCATGGGTCTTTCTGCGGTAATTGACCCACTCGGGGTACTTGATGTGGTGCAAGCTCGAATGTGCTGCTTCCTGATATGCGCGCCATGTCGCTAGCGTCTGCGGTGTTAGCTGCCGCCGCGGGATGGATCGCATCCATTGCTGTGCGTGGATGTCTTCTTCAGGCGAATATACGATCGGCATCATGAGCGCGGGTGGTGGAGGGCGCGGCAGTAGGTAGATGCACGGGTCATTGCGGTTAATGCGGGCGCCGCTTTGGTTGCCGCTGCTGTTGTATTGCTCGTGCTTGGCGCGTTCGGTGGTCGTTGGAATAGGTGCGCAGGTGGTGGCATGCACGGTCGCTGGCGTGGTGCGGTCGTGATTACAATGGTCGTTTTGCTACTGAGTATAGTTGGCATGGGCTTGCTTCGTATTGTGTTCGGTGTTTGTTGCGTGTGTGGAGTACTGTTGGTGTGGGCTAGGTTGCTGTGGCTGCTGCGTCGTCTGGCGTTCCGTTGCTGAGTTGTGTGCGTCGTATGCTGCGCGTTGTTGGGCTGGTCGGTGTGCTGCTAGCGGTTCTGGATGGTTGTAGAGTGACCGCAAGTGTTCTGAGCATGGATTGAGCTAGCTGGTGGCGATGGCGGTTTGGTCAGTATTTGCTGAGTCCTTGGGGCTATACAAACGATGATGTCTCCGTCGTTGGAGCCGTCGCTGTCGTCGCGCTTGCAGGGCGGCTGCCGCCTTGGATCTCGCGGTTTGAATTTGCGTTGCAGTAGGAGTGCTGCGTCGCGTAGGCGCACAGCCGAGCTGCACTTCATGTCGTGGTCGTCGTGGCAGGTGTTGGGCCGTTGTGGCACTTCCTGTGCGGTTTTGATTTTGGCATTGTTGAGTGGTGCTTGTCCTCCTGCGACGCGGGCGCGTGTCTGGGCCACTTGCACTCTGAATGTCAAGCTCTCGCGGCATTGCGCCGCAAATGCTTGCAAGTCGTTGCCGCATCGTGAGACGTTCGACTGCTTGGGCGGCATGCGCAGTGGTTGGTGCGAGTCTGCACTGACGGCGTCCTTGCGCTTGATCAGCTTCGCGCAAGTAGTGGCAGGGAATGCATGAATGGTCAATGGTGTAGTTTGGGGGTCGGGTCGTAGTGGTGGATGCGGCAGGTGCTGATTGCCGCCGCGGTGAATAACGATCTCGACGTTGAATTTGTTGAAGCACCTGTGCCATCCAGGCAGTAGTTGGTAGTCATCGGGAAACTTGAATGCGCATGTGTTGGCTGTCTCTTGGCAAAGGATTGCGCGCTGCCAGATGTCTTTTCCTGGGATATCCTGGCCTGGGTCGGCGCAGAGGCAGATGGCGGCCCAGCCACTGGGCAGGTTCATGTCCTGGTAACTGTTTGGTTTGAGCGGTGGTAGACAAGCTTCAAGACAGTCAGAAGCTCGGCCCATCTGGGCCCATGGTCCGTCTCTGTGGTTGTCGTTATCCTCCGACGCCGAGATGTCGCAG